CCCCAGCACCCACCCAGATGACGAGAAACCCCACACTTCGGCAATCAACTATACTATTCCCTCCCCGGACCTGCTCTCCACCTAGACCCAGCCCCAGTCCCAGTCCGTACCAACACCCTCAATCTCCTCACTCTCCTCACCCGCCCACCATGAGTCACAATGTATCTTCACCCCCGAACTCTGTCACCACCTCCAACCCTCCTGCTCCTCCTGTATCCCCCAACCAAATTGCTGACCCCTCCATCACCCATGCCAATGTCTGAACATGCTTGTAATAACACCATTAGCCTATGCATCTGGCAACAGAACCTGAACACCTCACCGACCGCACAAGCCTCACTCCTCAACTCCCCTAATGCCGCAGACTGGGACCTCATGGTAATCCAGGAGCCCCACATTAACTTCCTTTGTAACACCAGTGCTAACCATCACTGGCATGTCTTGTACCTGACCCAGCATTATACTCACCCTCAACAGCGAACTAGAGCGATCGTTCTAGTCAGCGCCTTGTTAGATACTAACACGTGGAAACAAGTATCCTTTCCTTCCTCAGACGTAATCATCCTCCAACTCTCTGGCCCCTATGGGCATTGTACCATCTTCAATATTTATAACGACGGCAACTCCCAGGACACACTAACTGCTATTGACTCTTTTCTAGAATGCAACATAGACTTTATCAAGACATCCAACATCGACCACATGATCTGGATGGGTGACTTCAACAGACATCACCCCGCCTGGGAGGACAGTCAGAACCAACATCTATTCAACTATGCCGCTGCTCAACCACTAATTGATCTTATTGCTGACTACAGTATGCTACAGCTCCTCCCATGCGGAACCCCGACCCTCTAATCCACTAGCACTGGCAACTGGACTCGCCCTGATAATGTCTTCGGCACTGAACAACTCTTAGATGTGATTGTCTCCTGTGAGACTGCCCCAGACCTATGCGGTCCCAAGACCGACCATGTTCCTGTTCTACTGACCCTTGCTTTAGAGGCCCCACGTGTTGACCAGGAACCACAGAAGAATTGGTGGGAAGTAGATTGGGAAGCCTTCAACAAGCACCTCTCTGCCCGCATCTCCTCTCGCCCCAACCTGCCATTGGCATCTGACACTGAATTCCAAGCAGCTGCCCACCACCTCACTCTAGCAATAACAGACACCATTGAAGCTTGTGTCCCCTACTCGAAGCCATGTCCACACTCCAAGAGGTGGTGGACACACCATTTAACTAACATGAGGGACCGGGTGAAAAGCCTTAGCAAGCTGGCCTATCAAATGCAGGGGTTACCTCTTCACACATGCCACAAGGAACTTACGGATGCCTGGAACCAATATGCGGCTGAGATCACATCAACGAAGAAGCAACACTGGGTGGAGTGGCTCGAAGACATTGAAGGTAATGACTTATGGACAGCTAATTGATAGATCTCTTCGGAGCCTCGCGATGGAGGCAAAACACGCATACCCACCCTCACTTCACGTGGACCGGGCGGAACACTGATAGAGGCCACCACTAACCATGAGAAGAGCCGCATTATAGCTGAGTCATTCTTTCCTCCTCCCCCCGTAGTTGATTCTGTTCCAACAGATGTAATATACCCTGTTCCAGTAGAGCAGCAGCCACCCATCACCTCCACCCAGATCACGCAGGCCATTGCCAACCTTAATGGCTACAAGGCCCCGGGTCCGGATGGAATCTGCAACATAGTCTTCAAAGAATGCGCTGGCGTGCTGCTGCCCTACCTGCTACACCTCTTTAATGCTGTTATCTCCCATCGCTCATACTATCAGCTGTGGAGGTCCTTCACCACAGTTGTTCTACGTAAGCCGGGCAAGCCTAATTACTCTATCCCTAAAGTGTATCGTCCCATCGCGCTGCTTAATACCACCAGCAAGCTGCTGACAGCAATTATTGCAGAACAACTAATGCTCCTTCTGGAACACCATCAGCTGCTACCCAATACTCACTTCATGGGACGCCCCGGAAGGTCCACTACTGACTCACTTCATCTCCTAGAGGCAACCATCAAGGACGCATGGAGATCTCACCGAGTGGCATCGGTATTGTTCCTTGATATAGAGGGCGCATTTCCTAATGCAGTCACCAAATGCCTGATCCACAACATGTGGATGTGTCGTATACCAAGCGATATTGTTCACCTCACTGAGCAGGTACTGACTGGCCGACAGACTCAGCTTCACTTTGATGGATACACGTCTGAATGGTTCCCTGTCACCAATGGTATCGGACAGGGAGACCACTATCTATGATACTTTATATCATCTACAGCTCGGACTTGGTCGATGTCGTGAGACCCCGCTGGGGACGCAAAACCATCAAAGAGCTGACTTTGGCATTTGTCGACAACACTGCCTTTATCGCCATTGCCAAGGACTTCGCAACAGCACATGGGATGCTGGCAGACGTGTTAGAGCGTCCAGGAGGGGGATATGAATGGTCAAGAGTGCACAACTCCCATTTTGAGACTAACAAGTTTGCATTAGTGGATTTCTCTATGAACAGGCACAAAGACCATCCTAATATGTTTATCCAAGGCGCTACTATCCAGCCGACTCCAACTCACTGCTTCCTTGGTGTTATTCTCGACCAGGAGCTTCATTGGAAGGCTCAGGTAGATAATGCGGTTGCGCGAGGGACGGCATATGTACTCCAGCTGTGTCGTCTCTCCTCTGCTGCTAAGGGACTGCCAATGTGTTTAATGCGACAGCTATACCAAGCTGTCGCAGTACCTAAAATGCTCTACGCCGCTGACCTTTGGTTCTCTCCAGTGTTCCGGACTGGATCGGACAACCTGCAGAGAGGTTCCATTAGTGTTGCAAGACAACTTTCCTCGGTTCAACGACTTGCAGCGATAGCCATCACTGGAGCTATGAAGACAACGGCAACTGACGTCCTCGAAGCACACGCTAACCTCCTCCCCACCACGCTACTCCTACAGAATACCTGCCATCGCGCCATCATCCGACTCACCACCCACCCTAGCATGCACCCCCTCTATCTCCCACTCAGGAGGGCTACACAACATTATGTTGGCTCACATCGCTCCTCCCTCCACAGACTCACCCATCACTATGCCATTGACCCAGATGAGGTGGAAACATTGATCCCAGCTCGACACTCTCCAAGCACCAAGAACCCATGGACTACGCACATTGCTGACAGCAAAGAGGCAGCTATCGCTGAACATGAGCAACTAATGGATGTTAATCAGGTTTACTGTGATGGATCAGGATATAAGGGTAAGATTGGCACCGCAGCAGTACTATTTCACGCTGGGAAGAGTCCCAGAACACTGAGATTTCACCTGGGTACCGAAGAAGAACATACAGTTTTCGAAGCTGAAGAGGTGGGACTGACACTAGCCGTGAGACTCATTGCTACAGAACGTGACCTAGCCTTCCCTCTGTCAATATCAGTGGACAACCAAGCTTCCATTCAGACCGGTGAGAGCTTCTGTTCACGACCGGGATCATATCTGGCAGACCGCTTTCGCAGGATGATGCAACAAATTGCAAAGGACCACAACAACTTTGCAGTCTCAGTACGTTGGGTGCCTGGGCACTCGAATGTCCATGGAAATGAGAGGGCGGATAAACACGCCAAGCTCACAGCAGAGAGTGCCAGGAACAATAGCTCACGTCCCTGGCTGCCCAACTTCCTATGTTGTGGTGCTCTGCCTCTAAGTATTTCGGCACTCAAGGAAGTCCATTGTAAAAACACGCATGCCCACTGGGAGTGCCTATGGCGCAAGTCTCCACGCTTTGCATGCATGCACCTGTTAGACCCAAAACTGCTCCAAAGATCATTCCTCAAGTTGTCCATAGCATTCCCCAAACGACTCACTGGCCTATACATGTCCCTCCGCACCGGTCACATTCCTCTCAACAAGCACTTGAATCGCATAGGAAAAGTCGCTAGCTTGTTTTGTGCCCATTGTCCACAGATTGAGGAGACAGTGCACCATCTTCTCATTGCCTGTCCCTATTACTGAAGAGAACATCATGCTCTCACCTGCACACTCAGCCCCAAGGCCTCCTCCATCCCTTACCTCGTGTCCGACCCTCTTGCTATACCTTATTTAGTTCAGTTCATCAACGCTACAGGGAGACTTAGAGCGACCTTTGGTGATGTCCCCCTCCCTCACAAACCGACTGAATGATGACTTTTGCCCCGTTTTTAGCACCACAAGCACCGCATTGACATGCACATGCATATATTATTCCCGCATACAAAATTACACACTCGTCTACACGGAATCGCCCACGTTCACCCTTGGCTTCAGTCAGCCAGATGGGAGAAGTCCAACGTCAACCCCTCTGGCCTTCTCATATACATACTATCCTACTGCCCCCAACCAGATTCCTGTACTAGACCGTACAAGCGGCCGAGTACTCATTCAGTTTTTCTTTAGTTAGTTTACAACTACCACACACACAACACAGCCATCTCACTCTCGATGGGTGGCACGTCTAAAACGGCCAGTGGGAACGGCAGACTGGTGGGGGTACGCCCTACACCAGGGCATTCATGCACCCAGAGATGTGCTTAGGGACACAGGTGTCCTATAGGCTAGATAGTTTTGTCCTCCATAGAGTCTCACTCTCCATAGGACAATAATTGGATTTTTTTTTTTTAAAAAAAAAAACAACTCACCATACTCCTCCACCAGAAGAAGCTCCTCCCACCAAAAAGATCCATACAGAACAAAGCACAGACATGAAAGAGAAATGAAGAACTTTCATCTAAAAAAGCAGTGTACGTATTGCGTTGAAATGGACTTGTATTTGTATCGCACATAAGATAGCTAGGCTGGTATACAACCTTGGTCACATGATGTAAACAAATTGATATTACATTCCAAACTCAACCTAAACTGGTGCAAATTTGCAATAACAATATCTGGACAGACAAGCAAGGTTAAAATCAGCCACACCGATGCCTAGTTTCGGAATCAGCTGTAACAGAGTCTTTGCAAGTCACTTGGAGCAGTTCTGCTTGGAGAATCCAATTAATATTGCCTCTACTACCGTGCTATGAACATTCAATGTCCATGATCCTCGATATATCCTATTCTGAGCGATTTGGGCGAAGGCGCGCAGCGCCTCCCGGTCCCGAGTTGCATGTCCTGCCAGATAAAAGGTGAGCTGCAAGGGTGAGAGGGAAAAGAAAACCATCGCGAGCTACTCATGACAGGGATCAGGCGCAGTCCGGACCACCGAAGAGGGAGAGCAATGAGCAATGCTTGAGTGTTGACACGAACCATCGCGTGTTGAAAAGGGAGTGGTGGGTGGGGAAAAGAAAAGGAGGAAGAACATTGTCATTGAGGACGACTGAGACCATATGGCACAACGTCACAGTACAAAGTCAGAAGGTTCATACTGCTTCCGACGCTTGCGCAAAGACTTAATTCTATTCCTACACTCGTTCCTCGTTACATAAGGTGCTGTTTGGACAGCGAACCCTGGTTCGAAAATCGCGGTTGAAAACAACACGTGATGATGGCACGTGTTGCCAGGTGCCTGTCAACAACTGACTAATCTTTGTCATATACACATACCTTTGATCATTTTATCACCGTCGAAATGTCTGATAGATCCAGCAATGGGTCTACTCACTCCCTGTGCTCCCAAGGTACTCTTGAAGCAGCAGCAGCATCCGGAACATCCCATAAGGCCCCTGCAGTGTGGTCAAAGGCAGAGGAAACTGCCTTTCTTGAGTTCCTCTTGAAGGCCCTTCCTTCCTCAGGTGATGGGGGCTTCAAGATGCCCACTTTTAATCAGGCAGCTACCCACCTTAAGGAAACATTTACACAGCACAGGGGCGCAGAGAAGACTGGTCTAGTTTGTAAGAATAAATGGACAACGGTGCGTCTAGTGAGCCTTTCTGCCACTGCCAATGTCATTATATATTTTTATAGTTAAAGAAAGCATATCACAGTGTCATTGAGATAAAGTGCACTTCGGGTTTCACATGGAGTGATGAGCATGGAGCAGGTATTGCCGATCGAAAGGATGATGTCTGGGCACGGTTTACCAAGGTAAGTACTGCAATATATCTCATGCTATCTAATAACATTATATTTAGTCACATCCTCATGCAAAGCCCTTTATGACAAGGGGCTTTGACCACTTTGAGATCATGGAGCAGTTAATGCCAAATCAGTCGAAGGGTGCACATGTTTTCCAGCCCACCACAACAGCTGTCTCATCATCCATTTCCCCACCAACAGAGAGTGCAGCATTGAGTGCAGCACCTCCACCACCAGGGCCACCATCATCGATTGACCCAGATCTCCTTGAGCCACCCGCTCCATCTACCTATCTTGCACCTTCTACCAATGGCTCCACCACAGACTCAGGCATGGACGAGCATCAGCTGTAGCAAATGTAAGTACAGTGGACTTGCTGCTGGCTCAACTGCAAGCTCCCAGAAGCGACATCGGCCACCGTCTGCCACATTATTGGCACAACAGGAGGGTACTGAGACGATGAAGAATCTTGTTGATGTAGTGCGCGAGATGCAGAAGAATTTCACACTTGTTCCTCCGGTGCTCCCAGTGCCACAGCCAGTGCAGCCTTCCATGCATGTTGGGCACGCCATCTCCCTGCTCAATAAGTGCACAGAACTCACCAGCAAAGAGCACCTGTCCATTGCCAACTTCCTAGCTGAACACGAAAACCAAGCGATCATTTTCTACTTGTTGGATGAGGCGACAAGGGTTGAGTGGTTGGAGGAGAAGCGAATACTTTGTGGTGGCACACCGCGCCAGGCATCAACTGACTCACAGGACCATATGTTCAGTCTGATAGTGTACTATGTTGGTATCTCATTTTGTCTCAAATATGAAGTGTTGTTGTTGTCTTGCACTCGTTTCATTGTGAGTGTGACAAATGCATATATTGTTGTACATAATTTGCGTGATCCCTACTAATACTACAAAGGCAATGGGAGTCCCCTCCGCTCACGTTCCTCAAGATAGTCAGCCCACATTGCTGCTGCAATTGACTCACGACGAGCATCTGCTCGTCTTCTCTCAGCAGTATCTGCTGGTCCTTCAGAAAGTGCACCATGTCCCACTGCATCATCCTCCGCAAGATCATACTCGTGGTCTAGGGTGAGGTCAAACAGGTCAGGGTTGTGCCTGTGCACAAAGTTGTGAATAGCGCATAGCGCTGCTGGGATTCGGGCCTGAATGTGCATGCTATATTCCAGCGGGATCATCAAAATGCACCACTGCCGCTTCAACACGCCGAAGATCTGTTCGATGATATTGCGAAGTGCTGCATGTTGAAGATTGAACAATTCTTTGGGATCTCGTGGCCTAGTACAAAATAATTTAGTAGAAAAATGAATCTAAACAAATGAACTCACATAAGGTTTGCTTGGCGCCATTCCTTCAAATGATAGCGTACACCTCGATAAGGTACAAGAAGCGCATCGCATGTACCAAAGCCTGCATCAGTGAGAAGATATTTGTGCGCAGGTATGCGCAAATCATGAGACCATGTGTCATTCCATAGACTAGCATCAGCAGCTGAGCCATCCCAGCCTGTGAGTGAATAGGTAAAATAGAAGTCGAAGTCGCATATGAATAGACAGTTTTGGGATAAAAATCCCTTTCGGTTGCACAGGACGGTATGATGTTCGAGTGGCGCAAAGACCCAAATGTGAGTGCCGTCAATGGCACCAATGCATTGATTGAAGAATCTGAAGCGCGGGTCATCGCAGATTGCCACAGAAATGGGAGTGTTTTCGTTTGGGAGCCAGACATTTGTAGTGTAGAAGGGAGAGGATGAAAAAAAAATGAGGATGCGCTTGAAATATCTGTGAAAATCATCAGCCTACTGTTCAGCTTGAATTATTGACATACTTACCTGGTAATCGTGTCTGGAGACCGCTGAAATCGCTCACCAACATGGCGAGATGACAATCCTGTAACACACATATATAAAAAGATACCCAATTGCTCTTCGACAGTGACGCCATTGTGGGACTGAACAAATCCGTGTTGCCGCAGAACTTGTAAGAGCTCCTCAAAAGTTTGAACGTCGATGCCGAGATTGTGTTTGATTCTCTCCGGGTGACCACCAATGAGTTTGTACATCCAGGCTTTTCCTGTGAGAATTGATGTATGATATGGGGTCTTTTCTGTGTGCGATAAGAATAAGAGATTATATAGGCACAAAATCTGAGCAACTGCAATGGTGATGATGACCATCGCAATTTGACGTCGTCGATATAAATTGTTTGCTGTTTGCGCTTTGAGGTCCATGTGGGTGCAGCAATTGTGATTATCATTATAAGATTTACATGTTATATACACTATACTACATGCTATCGATAATCTCTTATCGATAAAATATATCACGTGCCATCATCACGTGTTGTTTTCAACCGTGATTTTCGAACCAGGGTTCGCTGTCCAAACAGCACCTAATAGACTATCCATTATTTTCATTTCTCACTTACTTAAGCTGCTTAGTGCTACCTTGCAAATTTGACATAACTGCCAAACTCAACGCACATATAATCATGATGAACATGGATGATTTCTGCAACTTCCCCTAGTAACACAGAAAAATCCAGAACGGCTGTCTTCATTTGATTGGTCTGACCACGGGGCCCGAGAGTCGAGATTAACGTTCAGCACGACCGATCATGCAATTCTCGACCTCGCAGAACTGGAGTACGAATGCTCTTGATGGGAAGGCTTAGGCAATGGTACCGTGTATTCAATGGATGTCGTGCAAGTGGAAGGAGAAGGTGAGTGAGGTGAGATATGGGGGTTGGAGCTCTAGATCTGGAGGGCGAATATTAATGAAACTGTTGTGCGACTAACTGAATCTGTGGCATGAGGATCCGGCATTGATAAGCCGTCCTACAGGACATATGATCAGAATATGATGGAAATCATAGCAAAACATGTCACACATGTAGTACCATGCGCTCAGCCACGCCCCAAAGTTAAGTCGAGGGTTTCCACTTTTGGCTTCAACTTCATATCACTGCGATACAAGTGCTGAACGTTGAACGGTGGTATATCCATCCGAATGCCATCGTTATACATTCCTGATATCCCCTACTCACTCTCAGCTACCCCTCGAATATGATCCAAGTCTCAAATGATCCCAGTCAGTGGCCGCTGTTCACTTGGTCTGTTGTGGTTAGCTATTTGTCGGTTTCATTGTCAGCAGTTTGGGGATGTCTCGATCTAATATTTGACTTGCATTTTTGCAGTTGCTGCTGCCGTCGTGGTGGTATACGATTGGGGTGAGCAGGACAGTACTTGGACTCAGAACCTGCTGACATTCTTATGATATCTCCAGTATTGACACTTGGCCATGAGGTAGGTCAATGTTCTCACTGGATCACCCAACTCGCTAAGAATGGTCATAGATTGAACTGATCTGGGTGAGTGACGGAGTCCCATATCAGAAGAAAAACAAGAATACAATGAATTTACGACAGAGGCAATGCTGGTCTCTCATGACTGTGATATATCTCTTTGTTCGTACCTCATGTTATACTATAGTGCGATTGGCAAGTTGTGCTGGCTCTAAAATGTTCTAGATACGTTATATTGGAATACCATATCATGTGTACGTGTCAAGGCCAACAAACTGGCACTGTGCTAATAGCTCATCTTTGAGAATTAGTGCCACCGTTCTGAGTATGTCTCATACGTACTGTGTTCGATTATTCTGACAGGCAGCACACAGTACATATATCCTCGGTCTCGCTGACAGATACAGTGAGTAGTCCGCAAGTATCTATCCATTTACAATGAATACACTCATCTGTAGGGGTGAGTGAGATTCCGAACATTGAATATGACTCAGCATAATAATTTAATAGGTGTGAGTTGGGGTATTTGATCCTATTGCGAGGGTGATCACTAATTGTGTGTTTCAGGCAATATTGTGAACTACACGCTAGTTGGGACAACTGTGGTCGTAGCTACCATGTTGGGCGGTGAGTTACCCAGCTGAAATACCTCAATGATATTGCTCAATTAAAACATCATGCAAGTCATCATGATTGCTCGGTTATATGCCGTGTATCAGGGATCTCGAATGTTGCTTATATTTCTTATTATCATCTTCCTGGCAGTTAACATTACCTATGGAATAATGGAGGCAATAGAACTCAAGTATACGATAGCGGGTAAGCTTTAATTGTTGACTTGAACACAGCTCATTGGACAAACACTAGAGGAACTGATACTCTCTGGCACATATATGTGCCATTACAGATCTAAAATGGACGACCAGGTTCTGAACACAATGATCTGGGTGCTCAACTCCTTTTGGGAGGTCCTCGCCCTGTGTCTTTTAGTCTGGATTGCTGTGAAACACTTCTGTGAATTGCGACGACTCGGCCTTTCAACAGGATCGACCATTGGGGACTGTTTCAGAGTGCTGATAAGATCTCAGGTGTTT